AATAGGGAAAGTGGGCATTTTGCTTCCATTGGGCCTAGACATGGGTTTTCCTTGTTTAACAAGGGCCGTCTCCACTGCTGGAATGCTTTGGTTTGCAAATAACCCTCGTGTTTTGTTCAGCTTGCATTCATTTGCAAATTGTTGTTAATTGTCAGGAACTCATTTGCGCATGTTATGCAAATAGTTTGCAGCACATGGGTGTCTTGGAACTTTCGCATCTCAATGCTTAGTTTGTTTATCTGCCACCGGTGGCTGTTTTTTAGTGATCTAGAACCTTTCAGGTTTAGGGAAGAATCAAAACTGCACTTTTCAGAATAGTTTATATAATTTAGCCTGTTGTTGTTGTTTTCATTGTCATAATCAGATTTTAATTATGAGACAGCATTAGTGACTGGTGGTTTCTTATGGATTCGCCGACCTAAACCTTAACCAAGTGTCCTCTTTGAAACACTGAAATGTCTGATATGTTGAATGCTATCTGTGTGTAGCACAGCCTCTGTCCTGAACTAGCCCGAGACAGTTCAGATTGATGAAGGTGGTTTTTAAAAGGGGGAAGGCCTCCCCAAAGTCCAGTGTTGGCCCATTAAAGTCAGACACCCAGTCTGTGGTAAGTCTTATAATTGACAGAGAAACTGTGTCTGATGACAGGCAAGCATTTTAATGAGGCGATATGTGCATAAATCAAAGTGCCTTTAGTTATGCACTTTATTTTGATTTAAATGAAAGCCATGACAGAAGAATGGAAAATGGTTCAGTAATGTGAAAGCATATTGTTTTGTTCCTTCACTCTGCCTGTGTTTTGCCTTTTTGGAACCTAGCATCTGTTGGTTGATAGGAAATTAATTTCCAGTCCCCGCTTATAAATCAGGCATGTAAAACAGAACCCGGACACACCAACTAATTAGAATCAAAGGGGCTGAAATCCATAATTGTCTGCCTTCACTCAAAATGGTTACTTTAATTGGTCGTAAATAAACTCTTGCTGTTTTTGTATGTGCTGTAAACAGCTGAATGCTTCAATTAAGCAGAAATACAGCAGTAGTGGGTTAGGAGCAGGGTGCAGTAGAAGTACTGACATATGGAGGTGATCTGAGCTCCCCCATGCACATTCAGTCGCTCTCTTTTCATACGGTGCGTGAGAAGGGGAGATAAATTTTTTTTGCCAGCGTAATATTATAGTGAGTCATAAATAAATGGTTACCCCTTTGGTACTAAAAGTTTTCATTAAAAACGGCCTGAGTTTCGTTATTGACACCGTGGGTTGCCTATGCAACGGGAATGAGCTAAAATTTATCAGTGTGCTTTTCTGCACCTAATAAATCATCTAAACAGGGGAGCCATATGGCAGATAAGACCTTGAGAATGGAAGCTTTAGCCGAGGAAGAGTCAAATCGAGTGAAATCAGAGCACCATCACAGCACCATCACAGCCTGTTTTCCTCTCATCCTCTCTCCCTCTGAGAGGGGGATATCTGCTTATTTTACACGCCATTTTCTTGTTCACCTTATCACCTCTTTGTCACTTGTTTTCTTCTTTTCAGGAGGGGGAGAAGAAAGAGAGGTGAAGCGAGAGAGAGCGAGAGGGAGGCAGTTGTGGCGAGTGCGGGAGTGGGCAGAGATAAGGTAGAGAGAGAGAGGGAGAGGGTCCAGGGAGGTGCTCTGACTGATGGGGAGGGATGATGTATGTAGCGGCTGTGTCCCCGCTCTCCTCTGGCCCTTTGTCATTAATCATGGCCATTAGCTTCTTTCTCGGCTGCCTTGTCTGCAGCAGCCTATCAAAAGCTTTCCTTTTTTTCCCTTTACAGTCCAGACCAGGAAAGGCCTCATGCTCTTGCCTTGCTGTCAGATGCTTTCTACTCAATATCAGACAGGAATTCTAATTGGGAAAATAGATAAAACATTCTAATGCTGGTGTATGATGTTAAAGCGAAACAAATGGTTGAGAAATACTGGCTTAAATATAAATAAGTATAAATAAGTGATTGATTTTGGGTTATAACCACTGGCTTTCCAGGTAATAATAATAATAATAATAATAATAATAATAATAATTATTATTATTATTATATACATGAGTTTTTGGGGTAAAATGGCTGGAGTGTTATTAACATAGCTTTAAGAGGAGAAGTGCTCTGCTATATGCTACTAAGTTGAATTATTTTCTTTGAGACATAGAAGACATGAGACAATATAGAGATTATGATTTTATCATGTACAAAGATTTGAGATGCTTTTCCTAACTGTGCATAATTTAATAATTTAATGTCCTTACCCAAATTTTTAATAGGGCTGATTTTTTTTTTTTTAAATGCTTCTATAGACTAACTGCAGTTAATAGAATAAATTATGCTTGAACTTTTATTGGTCTGATTCTGTAATGTAACCTTGAGTAACCCTAAATGGGTTTTTTGGCTAAGTTGTTACATTGATTATGCCTGTGAAGATAAATGAATACTTTATATGATTGCTGTTCCCTTCACTGTTGGTAAAAAGCAAAAAAAAAAAAAAAAATACCAGTTTGTGCAGTTTGTTTATAGATAATGATGATGTAAATGATTAGACATTATTCTGAGAATGCTTACCCACATAAAGACCTAGTAGGAGGGTAGATGTGTGGCCCAGATCGTTTCTATTGTCTTGGCTAATGAGAATAAACAACTGGCCAGCAGACTGACCATCAGATGTAATAGAGATATATAGCAGCCTGGTGCCTGTGAGCCTCCCTTTGTGCCTCCCAAACTGAGAGTGACACATATACTAAAGCACCATCAGGCCCAGTCCAACTACCCACCTTACATCGGCATGCTATTCGCTCTCTCCATCGGCCCTTCATGCATCATGCTTACGCAGTGAAATTATTACTGCCTTTAACACGCTGTTATTATAAAGACGCAAGGCTTTTTCCAGCACAAACCGAGCTATATTGATTTAGTGCAGGGCAGTCACATGGTGTGGGTGAGGGGTGTGTTTATTTACCTTCCAGGCACTTTAACGAGATTGAACAAAGCTGTAGTCCAGCCACTTTGCATTCTCACTTCATTATGCCCAAATGTTGAGAAAGCAACAGGAAAAAGATACTAGTATGTGTTCATTTTCTGTTTGGTTATATCCTGCAGTGGAATTATTTATGGGTTTTTTTTCATCCTTAACCTACCTTTATTTGGAGCATTGCAGATAATAAATGGCTAAACAGGGTAAATGCCTTATTCAGCAGGTGTACAGGTAAAGGCTGATTTGAAATGGTGTGTTTTATTTTGCCGAGTGGAGAATCCTCACCCCAGAGGATTTATACAGGCAAGATCAGCACTTGTCTCAGCAAGCCCGAAGTGGCTCTTGTTAGGCAACCAGCACCGAAGATGACTGATTTTGACAACACAATTTGCATCTTTGTATGAAACAACCTGCACTAGCTGAGCTGATTTAGGTCGGATTAAGCTGTTCGTCTCCGTCACCAGATAACTATTGCAATCTGTCAGCGCTCCCGGTTTTCCAATAACACATTTCTCTGTCCAGCCCATGGGACTGAGAATTGATCTGGAATATAGAGAGCAAAATTGCCACTGGAACTTCATAGAGGTACACAATTACTGAATCATGCAGATGTCAGTAATTCCATAAAACTGATATGGGGGTAATGAAAACATCTGACTGCTAGATGGTGTGTGGATTTATGGCTGCATTAAGAGGGGAAAGAGGCTGCGATGACAGTTTTGTAGCACGGCTTCTGTTGTTTCACACGCTTAAAGGGCCAGATCAATTAGTGTCTGCAGCCCGACACGGCACCTCTGACAATGCTTTTATAGCAGCATGAAAAATGCATGTGTTTCAGAGGGAGATTTTGGAGCCATTAGGTGTCCACATATATGATTTCATGTGAGTGCACATTTACGATGATGTATTGCGCTAGCGTCATGTTGCTCCCTATCAGCAGTAAAACATGGCCTTTCTCATAGTGCCATAATAAAACCGTTTAGTCAGCCCATAATGTTTGTCCTCAACTTTGACAATTAAACTGACCGAAGATTAATTGACTTTCAGGCTTGTGTGTGTTGAAAGAGTAAGACCAGAAACACAGTCCTGTGAAAAACACCCTGCTTTCCTGTTTCACAGCATAGAAGCATTATCATCTTTCCCTAGAAGTCCATTAGTAAGTAAAGCGATTTGAGTATAATGCTCTTTCCACACTACGTTTATCTTTAGTGAATGATGAAATGTGTAATGATTCATGTATGCTATATACTAATCTTTCAGTGATTAAAAAGGCAGATTATCCCATTTAATATTAATTTTCTAGTGGTAGAAGGAGCTCATTCTATCCCCTCACTCCTCTGTTCTTCTGTTCTCTCCATGATCCACTGCTGTCTCACTTATTTCACCCCTTTTTCTTAAGCCATACATCTAATTCTAATTAAACAGGCATTATGTCTCTCTCTCTCTCTCTCTCCCTCCTCTCTGATGCTATCAGGCTCTGAAGGTTCTTATTACTGTAATAAGTGTGAAGGGAATCTCAGCCTGGCAGTTCATATGCACTCGTGGACTGGATGTGCGGAATTTGCATAACCTGTTAAGGAGATATGTGAGGTCCAGCATGATTGAATTTCACAGTGCGGCGCTGTTAATTAATAATGCCGTAGATGTGACAGGCCTTTATCATGCACTGTGGATTGGTGATGATGTGTGTGCTCGCGTGGGTACAGGCAGGCAGGCGCTGGCATTATGATGGCAATGGCCCATGCTGTAATGAAGTCGCTGTAAAAAAAAAAAAAAAATGCCTGTAAATATTACAGTAATTTACTGGCAGCAGGGTTACCACTAAAATACTCCACAATTTACAGTAAACAACTGTAAAACATATTTACAGTAAAGTACTGTAATGTCTTACATAGTATAAAATAACACGTAATCCAGTACTTTTGCTCATTTGGCTGAAAGCAATTTACAATCAATGCACAGTTGAGCAGAAAGTTAAGCGTCTTTCTCGAGGACCCAACCATGGCACTTTGGGTGTGCTGGGATTTGAACACACAACCTTCTGATCTGTAAATTAAAGCCTTAACCACTGAGCCACCCTAACTAGCTCAACCAGCCTGCGCTGATCAAACCACTTCAACCACTGAATTAACGCCACTGAAAGATTGCATTGAATCAGTGCATGCTAGTTGAGCTACTTGTAATGGCTCATGATTAAGGCTTTGAGTTACAGATTAGAAGGTGTGGTTTCATATCCCAGCACCACCAACCTGCCATTGTTGGGTCCTCGAGAAAGACCCTTAACCTTCTGCCCTGTTGTATCAAATGTCAAACGTGAGCAATGTTTATACTATGTAAGACAAAAGCACATGTTTATGCTATGTTTATGCTAATGCTAAGCCATTACATTACTGTAACTATGTTTTACAGTTGTTTATTGTAAATTGTACAGTACTACTGGTAACCCTACAGTAAATGACAAATATTTGCAGGCAATTACCTTTCGAATGATTTTCACGGAATCATTGAGGACCCAGCGATGGGCCATGCTGTTTTCCAGTGTGATTTAAATGTAAACAAGTGCTCCTTTGCCTAGATTAACTCACAAGGAGTGAATTTGCATTGTTTCAATATTGTGTCTGCGTGCTTTCTTCGGAGGAGCTCAGGTGTCCATTTGTGGTTTAAGTTCAAAGGCTGTGGCTTGGAATACTGCTTTGGCTGTGCCCTGGCTCAAGGTTACCGAGAGGCAAACTATGTATGCAAAACATAGCCCTGTACTTTAATGTGCGGGCTCCATATGCCCGGGAATGTGTGTACGGCAGCGCTGCCAGCTGCTCTGGCTTAATATTCTACCTCTCTCTGCCGTCCCTGTCCTTTTGGCCTCTCTCTGTTTTACTGCCAGATTAGGTAGCAGTAATTGCCAATTATGTTGATTCTTTTATGATTTGGACTCCACTCGAGACTGGACCGAAACAGAGCATATTTCATGTACACCACATATGGTTTGAGACATTTGGACGTGCAATAACAAAGCAATTGGCCAAATGGTGGTGTAGAAACAAGTCCACTTGGGGCACTGAGGTTACTGAGATGACATGTCTTTTTTAGGAGGTGGTAAGAAAGTGTTTTGGACAGTCTATAACAGTAAGACTTGTTTTGCTGCCTCTTTCTGTGTGCTATTTTTTTTTATTTTTTATTATGGCTTCATTTTCTGTGTTGGCCTCCAGGTTTATTATGAGTGACCTCTAATTTTTGACACCACAAAGCTACATACAGCCAACATATTTAGTGTTGCTAATGAGCTGCAGCAGTTGTTCTTGGGATGTGACATGCATTTGAGCTCCAAAGAAGGCAAATTCATGGAAGCCTCCATATTCATTTGTTAGTAACAAGCTAGCCAGCTAACTATGATGAGTGATATATATGTACCTCCTCAAAACAGCGAACTTTATAGTCAGTTTGATAGATTTAACAAGCGAATATGTCTGTGCTGATTGATCTGAAGCAAATACTTGTATATACAGTATAACTCATTTAAAGACAAGTAGTGCTACTTTGTTTACTGTTGATGCTGTGAGCAGCCATTTGGATTTGCTGAACTTCGGGTTCAGCCATGTCACTTGCTGAACTCTGGGTTGAGGAGACCGTCCCAAGTACCCAAGTAGGAATTCCGAGCTGAGGGAGTGTTTTCTTCTTTTTTTTTTCCTAGTCTGAGGTTGGAAATGATGAGTTACGACCGCTAGTTGAATGCAGCATAGATATCCCTCAGAGTTGGATCCTCTCTCTGTGTCGTCGTTTTGTTTTGGGTTCTGTATCTGATCTGGAACCCCTGTGAATCACATTGAATGAAGTGTGCGAAATAAATGTCTGCTCTCTACACCGAGGCAGCATTGTACTGTTACGAGCAATATGTTAAGGACCTCCTTTCCAAATAATAAGTCACTTTGGAGTAGAGGCTGATGCCTCCTAAATTATCAGCTTGGAGAAAAAAAAATCAATACATACTGAGAATGCTGGCTTATTAGATATTGTAGCTATTCTCATGGGCCAGTTTATCAGGTAACCCTACCATATAGGCACACTTTATAGGTATACAATTACTGACCGTAGCCTGTTGCTGTGCCAATATGTTACCCACCCCCTATCACTCAGCGAAAAGACTCCACCATAGAACCCACTACTGAACAGATATTATTTTGTTAATAAGCCATTCTCAGTAACACTGACATGGTAGTGTGTGTGATCCTGAGTGTAAACGACCTTAATGTAGATTTTATTAGCCATACGCACTATGTTGGTTTTGGTTTACTTTCTAATAGTTTTTATTTATTAGAGATATTTTTTTTAATTCACTTTTCCATCTATTTTCTATCTATTTTATTTGCAGATTCATTTTAGTTCTATGAACAGGGTTGAAAGTTGTGAAGCTATTTATGCGCCTAATCTTTACACAGCGCTACTCAAATACACACTGCCCATCCTTGAAACAAGCAAAATGTGTTTAAAGTCTCATTAAAGCAAGCAGGTAACGTATGTGACTGAATGTGGTTTATGGTAAGGACATGGTAAGATTTAACCAACGTGTGAGTTGTAAAAGAATTATGCAGTCACAACTTAACTAAAATAACCTGTTTTGTAATAGTGTTATTTGGAAAGCTGTTAATAAGAAGTGAATCTGTGACATTATCAATGACAATAAAAGTATTATATTTATATTATCACACTATAAATAATAGTTGTTATTATTAAATTATTATTTATCATACCTCAACACTTTTGACTGATCAATCCTGATTGGTCAGAAGGTGAGAATGAATTTTCTTTGACAGTAGTGCTGGCTGTAATTCAAATCACAAGTTTATATTAATGTGCTTTTACTAGTGGTGTTGTCATTTCTAAAGTAATTTTATAGTATCTTTATTGTTTTATTGCTTTATGGCTTATTTATTTCACTGGGAATTGTTTGGTGGATACTCTGCATAATCTAAGGCAAATAATAAAATGATTCTTTTTTTTTAAATTGTAATCATTTGTATGGTGAAGCTTTCTGTAAGTCTATGTAATGTTTAATTAACTTTTTTGGTGATGAAACTGGTGATGAAACAATAACAGGAACTTGGATGGATGTTCCATGACACTACATTTAACGATAAACAGTTAAAAGTATGGCATGTTCATTAATAAACTGGCAACTTGCTGTGGTGTAAGAGGAATAAAACACTTTGGAACATGCTCTTATTGGAAAATAATCAACTTCAGGCTGCATTACACTACTCCCTCACTGATTATTTTCCCATAAGAGCATACCTCATTGTGTTGTGTTCCTTATTTATTACACCTTTATCTTTCCCAGAATGATTGAGATAATTTTGAATAATTTGGATTGTGTGTAATTTGGAATAATTAATACCAATCTGCTTTTTTCTGTATTTCAGTTACTTTCGTGGCCAATATTACTAATCTTTATTTAGTCTTAGATTTTTAACTTTAGTAAATTATTTCATTTATCACTATTCTTTTGTAGTTTTGGTTTGCATTACCTACAATAACCTGGGTCAGCGGCTGACTCATTGTGTGTAGTAGCAGAAGTGCTACAGTCCGAAATTTTACACACATACCACTTTTCCCACTGGACAGTGTGGCACAGCTCAGCTCTGCAAATTACCCACAATCCTCCACAATGTCACTGTTTCGACTGCCAAGCAAGCTGTGCCGTACTGACGTACCCGTGCTGAATTTGGTTACCCTTCTTACCCTGGTACCATGTGAGCCGGTACATACAGGTGGAGCTAAGAATAATTTCCCCACAGTAACCTTTTCTTATCAATATGTAACTTGAGCTTACATTTTTCTGAGTGATCCAAGTAAAATCCTCCATCTACTAGTTGAGGTAAGCGTCAAATGGCTTCCTATTCACTTTGTTTGCTTCCAACCTAGATTCAGCCCCAGATACTGTACAACTGCTTGTGTGCATGTTTGTGTGTTTTTTTTTTTTTTTTTTTGCATTATTTGCTGAGGTTTGCATGTAAACTCCTCACTTAAATTTTCACTAAAGATTAAAACATTGGTACACTTGGCTGTGTTGGGGAGCAGTGAGTAAAAGTTTGCACTAAAAACCTAACACGGCATAACAAGAGCGTAACACGGCAGCGTCACACACATTTTAACATCAAATGAGATATGCCTGGTTTCACTTCAGAATTGTTTATTTAAATTTTAAATGGAGAAGATTATACTGCTAGTGCTTAACCTCCAGAGAAAGCCCTCCTACTTTACTTGGGTAGAGCTATACGATGGGAACGCAGCACACATACACATGGCCATGGTATGGGTGGTCCTGGGTTCACATTTGATGCTGAGGCATGGCCTAAAAGTGACCTGAATGGTACGGGTATCTGATATAAGGGTCGGTAGGTGTAGCTCCAAGGTAGGTGTGTATAATTAACTGGTATCTCAGCATATATACTGCTTTGTTGTTTTCGTGGTAAGGGATAATGGGATAATGCACACAGTGTTCACTTTACGTCACCTGGTGAGAGTTTATTTGTGATCCTGCAACGGGAGCTTATGCTAAGATTAATTATACCGACATAGCAACACAGAGAACTGAGTAGCAACATAAACACTAGTACACAATCCAATTCAGTTTTAATGTTTGTCCCACACATCAGCTAGTAGAATTTATGCATCAGTTTTTGACTTGTATCAGGTTAGCTTGGCTTGAACACAAGTCAGATATTTCACAACAGCTATAATTGACTTAATATTAGAATTATGTAAGAATATAATTTTTTTATTGAGCATTCTTTTTGAGTATTACGTTGTAAGGGATATTCACATGTACCTAAAACAACACAAACCAATATAGGCTCCATTTTATGACAAAGCTGGATGTGCAACTTCTTCCCTAATTGATGTGAGGTGTTTAACATGATTGCCAATGATGACTACTGTTTTTGAAAATAGTCAAGTTGGAGCTCTCCTGGTATGTGGACATGGGAACTTTTTTTCTGCTGTATGGACAAAATGTGGTAAAAGTCTGGGACTTTTTTGCGTTGTAGATAGTTAACCAAGTACACAGCCCTAAAGTGCTACATGGA